ACGCCCTTGCCCCTCCCTCCCCCATCCCCTTCCCTCCCCCGTTCTCCTGTTGGTGCTCGCCTCCCATTTTCCCCCACACCACCAGGTGAACTTTTCCCCCGATGGCCGGTTCATAATGTCAGGGGACGGAGAGGGCAAGCTGTGGTTTTGGGACTGGAAGACATGCAAGGTGTTCCGCACAGTCAAGTGCCACGACTCGGTGTGCATCGGGTGTGAATGGCACCCCCTGGAGACCAGCAAGGTGGCCACGTGCGGCTGGGATGGGCTCATCAAATACTGGTCAGTGATTGGTCAAAAGTGTGTGACCTTTGTTACTGTAGTATATGTCTGTTGCTACAGTCAAGTGCCACGACTCGGTCTGCATCGAGTGCAAGTGGCACTTGCTTGAAACCAGCAAGGTGGCCACGTGCGGCTGGGACGGACTCATCAAATACTGGTGAGAGTATGTTATACGGACTCATCAAATACTTGTTTGTGTGTCCCAAGCATGTTATACTTTGTTACGGTCTAATCTGTGTTGTATCAGTCAAGTGCCATGACTCGGTGTGCATCGGGTGTGAGTTGCATCCACTTGCAACCGCTAAAGGTGAAGTCTCTCCATCACTGTACTAATCGAAATTGGAAATGTACGTGGCATGGCATCTTGTGTGGAACAGGGATTGACAAACCTTATGCGAAATGAGGGTGGTGTCGACTTCCTTATTTGGCCGTATCAAGTTAGGAGTGTGTTGCTTACATTCCTCCACACTCTTGCTATTGGAGCTCCAGTCGAGCTCTGCCAAATTGAAATATGCAGTGAGATGCTTTCACTCCTAAATCTTGTTTTTGAAGCTCCAGTTGCTGAATCATACTATGGTGCAGTTAAACACTAATTTTGGAGCTGCGTCAGGCGCACACCATGCCATGTAGATGCTACCTTCCATTTGATTGGATTTGCATTTCCATGTTTTACCCATATCTGAGGCTTCTGAAGATTTGTTTTCCAGCTTGTCTCATGTATGTCGCTTTTTTTTTTCACCATTGAAAGTGTAGTGCCTTGCTTTTCTATTGCACCTGTGTGACTCTGTCACTTGCATATAGATCTCGATTGCTACAGCTACAGTGAGTCGCATGAACCGCGTTCATCAGGCACTTGCATTCCAGCGAGGCATTTTATGTCGCCGCCGCGCGCCTTATGGGAATGCGCCACCACTGCCAGCAGGAAGTGCAGAGACTACATTCCTGTGCAACCTTGGGAATTGGAAGCAATTAAAGTTACCCACGTGGAATATAATCCAATAGTGTTACTCCACCTAAGCTGTATGACACCAGGTTTGGCGAGCAGCTTACCGCCGTAACATCTGTCCCCTCCGTGCGGTCCATGCACTTTTTCCGAAGACCCGCCTTTTCTGTTGCGCTAGTTCCCGACGAAGACTTCCGCAGCATGAATGTCTGCCTCCCCATCCGCGCGCTTAGCTTTCTGGCTCTCCCCTCTTCCAGTTTGCGCTCCGCTCAGGGCGACTCGACTACCCAATCCCACGATATTTTCGTGGCGGAAATCTCTGGGGAATTCATTCCTGGGAACTCCCTGAAAAAATCCAGTCGTATTTATTTCGCTGCGCCTTTCTTATCGTCAGTCATTCTTGGAAACGGTTCAGATTTTCACCACTAATAAGCCTGTTTTTCAAATTCAGCTTCGTCCTTTTTCTCGTTCGGCTGCTCTCTGTTCACTTGCTTGACTCCGCTTCAATCGTTTCATCGCCATGGCGTCCACTATTGATCAACTGAAGAACATTCCCATCACAACTGGCGAAGTCATCGCGGAATACGTCTGGTGAGCCTAGGCAAACGCTTGAGAATTCTCAAACCAATGTAAGCGTTTGCCTTCTTTATCTGACACTCGTTGAACGTTGTCGATCTTTTTTTCCGCAGGATTGGAGGATCGGGAATTGATGTCAGAAGCAAGGCCAGGGTAAGCTTCTACGCGAAGTTCAGCATCTTATTGCTCATTCAAGTTGCTCAAACTTGAAGGGTCAGCTTTCAAAAAGGGTCAGCTCGTTTCATTTCATCCGAATTCCGTTTTCGTTTCTTCGTGCAGACTGTGAAGGGTCCCATTGGTCCCGGCGACGTCGCGAAGCTTCCCAAGTGGAACTTTGATGGTTCCAGCACGGGACAGGCTCCGGGCACAGACAGCGAAGTGATCCTCTAGTGAGTCCCGCCTCCTGTTACAGTCGCCTTTCATTACAGGGGCCTCCCGTTTCTTTGGCATACATCGGCTAATATTAAACCATCCCTCATTCATGCTGCCCTTCTGGCACGTATGCAAAATTCCGACATGACTATCTATCTGGTTTTGGTGCTCATGTGATACCTTTTGGCAGCCCTCAAGCCGTGTTCAAGGATCCCTTCCGTGGCGGCGACAACATTCTGGTGAGAAGCTATATGAGTAGGCTTTGACGCGAGCGCTCACATATTGATCGCGTGGGCCTGACACACGCTCGTTACTAGCGACCGCTTGTACCAATCGCTTGCGCTGTACACGCTGTGTATGCGAACAGCCACGCCGTCACGATTTGCTATTGGTTTTTGAACGCATTTTCTTAAGCGTCTCCACTTTCATAAGTGGAATCGTGTAGTAGTACAATCATTTAACATACCCTCTTTTCGCTGTTGCTTTTCCTGTCGTTACTACCAGGTCATGTGCGATTGTTACACTCCGCAAGGCGAGCCCATTCCCAGCAACAAGCGCGCCTTCGCAGCTTCTGTGTTCGAGAAAGTCAAGGACCACGAGCCCTGGTACGTCTCGTCTTCCCAACAAGCGTGCTTACTTACATTACCTTTCTATATTCCTCTAAGCCCTGGAATATCTAGGGCTGCCTTTCCACGATGCCTGTCTTTTCACGTGCCTCGCATTAACTCTTCACGTTATGTCAATTCGTGTTTTTATGTCCCATTCCCCCGTGCCCAACCCTGCCTCGGCGTCCCGGAACCACCATCGCAGGTTCGGCTTGGAGCAGGAATACACTCTCCTCAAGAAGGACGTCAAGTGGCCCCTCGGCTGGCCCACCGGCGGCTACCCCGCTCCGCAAGGGCCGTACTACTGCGGCACGGGCGCGGACAAGGCGTGGGGTCGCGACATTGTCGACGCGCATTACAAGGCGTGCCTGTACGCGGGGATTAAGATCAGCGGGATTAACGCGGAGGTGATGCCGGGCCAGTGGGAGTTCCAGGTGGGCCCCTGCACGGGTATCGAGGCGGGCGATCACCTGTGGATGGCGCGGTATTTGTTGGAGAGAGTGACGGAGATGGCAGACGTGGTGCTTTCGCTGGATCCCAAGCCGATCGAGGGCGACTGGAATGGCGCCGGCTGCCATACCAACTACAGGTCGGTTTGCTGCTAGTCTAAAGCTACGAACGTTTTTTCTTTCCCCCTCTTTCCAAGACAGCTCACCCTTTCTCTGCCGGTTTCTAGCGAATCTTTTGAAAGCGAGGTTGTTCAATCGTTTCGTTGTGATCGTGTGTTGGGGTTCTCCCGTGCAGCACCAAGGCAATGCGCGAGGAGGGCGGGTACGATCTGATCGTGAAGGCGATCGAGAAGCTGGGGCTGAAGCACAAGGAGCACATCGCGGCGTACGGCGAGGGCAACGAGCGCCGCCTCACGGGCAAGCACGAGACGGCCGACATGAACACCTTCTCCTGGGTACGCGACTTTATTTTCCCTTTCTTTCTTTTTCCTTAGCGTATGTCGGTAGCATGATGAGAGCACGCTGTAGCAGTTTGAATGAACGAGCCAATTCTGTCTGCTTACTTTCTGATCCTTCTCTGTCTCTTCTTCCCTTCCCTTTCTTCCCCGCCCCTGCCCCTCTTTTACTCCAGGGTGTGGCCAACCGTGGCTGCTCGGTCCGTGTGGGTCGCGACACAGAGGCGCAGAAGAAGGGTGAGTCGAATTTCTCCTTGCATTCGCGCTCCCTCGTTTGTGAGCGCATTTCTGAGCACGTAACTCCTGTTTTTTTATCTCGTGGATCAAAAGCAACAAACTCCTGAAACATGCTTTAGAACCACGCTTTACAAAATGTCTCTGGTCATCTGACACGTCTTCTTGCTCACCTTTCCAGGTTACTTCGAGGACAGGCGGCCATCGTCTAACATGGACCCATACATTGTCACGGGCAAGATTGCAGAGACCACCATCCTGTGGGAGCCTACTGGTATGTTCTGATTTTGTCCATTTGGTTCCCATTCCATGCACGTAGCAGTTGTCTTCACTTTGTCCTTTAGTAGATGCGTATAATGTTCCTGGGATTTAACGTCTGTCTTCGCCCTGTCTTGCCTATCGTTGTCTTGGCTGCGCAGCGTAAGCACCCCTCCACACACAGAGACGCATTACAGCAGCTGTAGCTTGATAGAATGGGACTATGGTAGTTAGCAAGGTCCTGTTGACATATGTTTCTTCCCTTTTGGCGTGCCATGGTATGAATTATTTCAGCCTCAGCTGTGTGTGCTATGTCATGCATGCAAATTCCGCCTGGGTGAATGCCTTCACAATCCCTTCACCCTGGACTGTCAGCCAAACCAGCTGGATTTCTAGCTTATGATTTGACCACAACCTGCCTGGTGTCGTCCATAGCTTCCTGTTCACATGGGTTTGTTTAGGCTACCGCTTGATGCGCCGATCTGGTATCCTGAAGAGCCGTGGAGATATGGCGAGAACCAAGCACAACCTGTATGTCTGGTATCACGTGTACGTTCCTACCAGTATCCTTACTGTATGTTCTACCATGGAAGGCGTGGCAGTATCACTATTACCATGCATGTATCATGTGGTTGCCTCGGACGTATTAGCACTAGTCTACTAGAACATTATACATACAGTACGTCATGTCACATCATCACCCAGAGTCAATGAATCCAGCCTATGACCCCTCACTACTACTGCCCATGCACCAGGGAGAACCAAGAGCCAATAACAAAGAACGTGCCTGTGAGCTAATTCACGTCACCAGCCTCCATACTGTCTCAATTCACCACTCGTGCCACTCCTCTCTACTGCTGCCCACGCACCAGGGAGGAGAACCAAGAGCCAATAGAAAAGAATGTGCCTGTGAGCCAAACATCCTTGAGAAAGTGGACGTCAAAGGGCCCAGGAAACCCATCATCCCCCCCAGCCCCCCTCCTCCTTCCCCACTGCCGCCGCTGCTGCTGCTGCTGCTGCTGCTGCTGCTGCTGCTGGTAGCGGCAGTTGGTGGGGAGGGTAACTGGGAGGGCACTTGGGTGGGGAGGTTGCGAGTAGTCGTTGTCGCAGGGAGGACAACTGGCGAATCGCCCGTGGCAGCAGGGCGGGCCCTAGTGGATGTTGATGCAGGCACAGCAGCAGCAGTGGAAGGGAGTCCCCTTACAGGCGTCGAGACAGGCATGGCTGCAGGGCGGGCCCTAGTGGGTGTTGAGATAGGCATAGTAGCAACAGCCAAAGGGAGGCTCCTTGCAGGCGTCGAGACAGGCACAGCAGCAGAGGAAGGGCGGCCCTGAGTGGGTGTCGAGACAGGCACAGCAGCAGCATGGGGGTTGGCCCTAGTGGGTGTTGAGGCAGATACAGCAGCAGAAGGGGGGCGGGTCCCTAGGGCTGTGCTACTGGTAGCCGAGGGGCTTGACACACCCGCCCTCGCCCCTTCTGCAGATGCAGCCACTGCTCCAGGCGCCCCCCCTACAGGCGTTGAGACAGGCACTGCAGAAGCAGGCGAAGGGCGGGCCCCTAGAGTCGTGCTACTGGCAGCAGAGGGCCCTGACACACCCGCTGCCCTCGCCCCTGCTGCAGATGCAGGCACGGTGGCAGGCACTGTTCCAAGCGCTGATGCAGGGACTGCAGTGGCCACTGCTGCAGGTACGATTGCAGGCACGGTTGCAGGTACGGTTGCAGTTACGGCTGCAGGCACGGTTGCTGGCACAGTTGCAGGCACGGTTGCAGGCACGGTCGCAGGCACGGTGGCAGGTACGGTTGCAGGCACGGTTGCAGGTACGGTTGCAGGTACGGCTGCAGGCACGGTTGCTGGCACGGTTGCAGGCACGGTTGCAGGCACGGTTGCAGGCACGGTGGCACGTACGGTTGCAGGCACGGTGGCAGGTACGGTTGCAGGCACGGCTGCAGGTACGGTTGCAGGCACGGTTGCAGGCACAGCTGCAGGCACGGTTGCAGGCACGGCTGCTGGCACGGTTGCTGGCACGGCTGCAGGCACGGTAACAGGCACGGCTGCTGGCATTGTCCCTCGTAGAGGCACTGTGCTCCTCACCCCTTGGCTGCTCACTGGCTGACTGACTGCAGGTGTAGACAGAGGCCCGGTTGTAGCAGGAACCGCAGGTGTAACCAGAGGCCCTGCTGTAGGTGTAACCAGAGGCCCTGCTGTAGGTGTAACCAGAGGCCCTGCTGTAGGTGTAACCAGAGTTCCTGCCGTAACAGAAGCTCTTGGTGTTGCAGTGCTTCGTGCTGCTGCACCAATTTCTGCTGTAACAGGCGCCGCTGGTGTTAAAGGTGTTCTAGGCGTAACTGGGGCAGGCGTAACAGTGGCCGGTGTTACAGGTGCTCTAGGGGTAACAGGTGTTGTGGATGTAACAGGGAGTCTAGGTGTTACAGGGGCAGGTGTTACTAGTGGTTGCTGCTTCGCTTGTGGGGAAGCAAGTGGCAACGGCGAACGCGATGATGACGTGGCGGCCTGGCGGGCGGCAGATGCCGGAGACACCTGACCAGGTGGAGCACGGGACGCTGCCGCCCGTGCTGCTGCCGATGCTGCCGACGCTGCAGAAGCTGCTGATGCCGCTGAGGCTGCTGATGCTCGCGATGCAAGCGATGCTGCTGATGCTGGTGGTGGCGGTGGCGCTGCTGTTGCGAGTATTCCTGTGGATGAAGGAGTTGGGGAAGTGGTTGAGAGCGAGAGACGAGGGGAGTCAACAAACAAGGATGGTGAATTGTTAAGAGGGTGTTGCTGAGAAATGTGAGGGGGTTGTAGGGGATTGGACGCAGGAAGGGGTCACTGCAGTAGATAGAGGTCGGGTAAAAAAAACAGTCTGAAGGAGGTCGTTCGTGTGTTGAGTCAGACATGCACAGACAGACAGGCAGAAGCATACAAGCTCAAACTATTTCCCCATGAGACGACAATGACGTACCAGTGAAGCTGATAATAACGAGGCAGCACAGAAACACCAGCAGCGGCTGATGGAAAGGGACCGGGATCCGTGTGTGCGCCATCAGACACGCTTTCTCCGCTTGCGTCCCGGTCACGGTCGCTGCGAGCTTTTGGTGAGAATCGCTTCAGGGAGTAACGGTCAGCACGAACTGGGCAAGAGAGGCGCCTCTTCTCTGAGAGTTAAGATGAGAAGACTCTTTTTATATCCTTCTGCTACGAGGCGTTCTTAACGTTAGACAGCAGCAGCGGCAGACTCAAAGGCCTTTTGAGTTCTCCACGTAACACCCTAGAGTAGCTCAGCCCAGTATCAAAGCTCGGATCGCAATGACTAATACTCACGATAGCCCTGATGACCATCACTCACCCTGGGCCCTTCCTTATAAACGAGTTGGCCTTTACAAAGAGCGGCGAAGCACTCCGATCAGGAATCCGCACGCGCGATTGATTTCGCTGCTGATTGCTATTAACAGTCTGGATGCGTGGTTTCCAGCCATTGATGCGATCCCCGTCGAGCCGCAAAAGCGAACAGATCGCTAGTTCGTCCAAGCCGCTGCGGACACAAGCTGGCGAAATCGGCCGCCGCGAAGAGTGCCGCATTGATTACAGCGGCTTTGTTGGCACGTGATCGATTGTAACGGATTGAGCCGTTTTGTACTGATATAACTAATCCCCGCACCTCGCACTCCATTCGCTTTCAACCAATCCTTCGCCTGTCTGCGTCTCATCAGGCATTTCCAGACAGGCTTCGATCGCCATGGTTGTTGCACTACCAGTGGTCATTCCAACGAACGAAAAGTTCCTGGAAAACCAATTGAGTCGTTCTTATGAGAAGTTGTAATCTAGAAGTTGACGAGGCATCACTACCGGAATTCAAGACCGGCGATAGTGCTTTTTTTAATCGGGTGGCAAGCGTTCCAGGTCGTGATTCCAGGCAGGCAGGAAGGCGACAGCTGGCGGCATGGTAGCTTTTCACGACAGTGACAAATGGAGGAGCAAGAGAAGCCTACAACTAATCGGCGTGTAAGCGATGAACATACAACATCAAAGATTTCAAGATCCCAACCTCGAGTGTTGCGAGGAGGAGGACACAGCGGAGTCCTGTGCACGGCATAGATTGTATCGAATAGAGAAAGCCCAGGCAACGGGGAGGGGAGAATAATAAGGTTCAGCCATCGCAGACCAAGGTACAATTGGGGGGGAGCTTGAAATGGCAGTGGCAAGCAAACCTCCAAGGTTCATACGTGGGATGAAAATTCGAGTGATACGCAGACGTAATCAATTCCATATCACCCCATCCCACGCCTTTTCAACCCATACCATCCCATCGCATCCGCTTACTGTCCCATCATATCCCACCGCACCGCATCTGACACCACTCAGTGATGGAGACGCGGGAAGCCCAAAATTACGCGATTCGACTTTGGCACATGGCGAGATGGGTTTGACAGGGATTGGCACATCTTCTCGGTCGAATGGAATTGGTTGGGATTGGTGGCCGAAATGAAACCAGTGCGGAGTGTAGCTGCTGTAACTAGGATTTACTGTATTCCATTGGACCCGATATAATGCGATTATGCGACACTCGTTTGGCATCCGGCCGTTTCTAGGGATTGGCCCTTCTGCCACCGAAATGTCCATTTTCCCACCATCTCGTTCCTCCACCAGTAGCGAAAACGCATGAGATAGCCGTTATGGTTACTGGCTTTCTTTGTGCCAGGCAAACCACGAGACCCCTGGGATCGCCGCACTTCGCCAAGCGGTTCGTCGCCAAAGCCGAAAATGCCATCTCTTGGACTTTCTCTGGATCAGAGAATCAAGGTGGGTGAATCAAGGCAGGTAGGTTGCTCAGACGAGAAATCTGTGGGTGGGCATTTCTCCAGGAGAGGAGGCTTGGAATCATCAGCCATACCTTCCCTGCTGTAATTTCTAGGAGAGAGCTCGCAGCAACACTTATTTCATCGGGGATCAGGATTCAGGCAATCCCTAGGACGCTCAATCAAGTTGTTTTCCTATTTTCTAAGGAATTTCTGATCCGTTGGCCTATTTTCTGGATCAGTTACCTCGATCTCGTCCTCCTGAAGCCTGGCCATGGCTCAGGAGCAAGTTGATACCCTAATCCATTAGCAGTGAAAGGTCGTACCTGTAGTAATCGTTTCCCACTCTGTTCTTGCAGCCAGACATCTGGGATGTTGTGACGGATCATCCCTCTTGCGTGTCGTTACGAAAAACAAGGCCTTAGCTTGAGTTTCTTAGGGTTCCTGGTCAACCTAGATCTAGTTCCTCGGTCACTATTTTAGTTCTAGATCATTCGCTGGTGCTTCAATACGGGTTGAACTGCTGCAAAAACCGTCGATTTTTGTAAGTCGCAACGGTCTGTGGTTACGATAGGCATCGCGACTGTCGCATCAGCTGCCTAAGCCACGTTAAGCAATGTTCTGACTCTTTTCCGCCATTCGCGTCGACTCGACCAGGCTCCTTACTATCTGGCCTTATTCTCGCTTTGCCCTTACTTTCCAATTTTCCCTTAGGTTTCACAGAAGCAGGCGCCATGTCGGGCGCGGCGTCAGCGGTGTACATCCTGGACATGAAGGGGAGGGTCCTGATATGGAGGGATTACCGTGGCGATGTTCCTGCATCCGCTGCAGAGAAATTCTTCAACAAGCTGATGGAAGGCGAGGTACGCGATGAGGATTGAAGTCAAACCATATTCATGTCCTGATGTGGATCATTACAGCATAAGAATGCCTGAAGTTTAGGCGGACTCTCGGTGTATGTTTGCAGCGTCGTGCAAGCTCTCATTTTCCAACAGAGAATCCAGGAATGCATTTTAGGATCGTAGTCCGCATGTTATTCTGGCGACATTGGCTGGTCGTGGAAGCATGCTGTTTGGATTTCACCGTCAGTGTCAGATTGTGTAATCAAATCTGACCGTTTGGTCGCTTCTGCTTGCCGTCTCACCAGTTGACATCCGCTCTGCGTCATTTCACGCTCTATCCATTGATTCCTCGTAACCGATGGTTCCGAATCCTCACACGCTCGCGCTCTCCTTGTCGCGTCAGGCTGACCCGTCCTCGCGAGAGCCAGTGATTTTGGACAACGGAGTGACGTACCTCTTCATTCAGCACAACAACGTGTACCTCATGATCGCCACCCGGCAAAACGCCAACGCGGCCAGCCTACTGCTCTTCCTTCACAAAGCCGTGGAGGTGAGTGGGTCGTAGAGATTGGTTTGAGTTGGGTCGGATGTGCCGGTAATTGCTCATGTATGCCTGGTGATGGTTCGGATGTCAATGATGATGGCTCGTGTGTGCCTGGGCATGGCTCGGATGCGCCTGCTGATGGCTGATGTGTGCTTTGCGATGGTTTGGATGTCCCTTATGATGGCTCATATGTACCTCGTGGTTTCATCGCATATTTCGCGCGTATCTCATGATTGGATCGGTTACGGCTGATGCGAATCGCATGCGTCTGACGATTTAGTCGCATGTGTCTGACTAGAGTTACATGCATCTGATGACTGGTTCTCGTGCACCTGATGATTGAGTCGCATGAAATCGATCTTTGGGTTGCATGCAGCCAACAGCATGGGAATTGGCATAGCTTGACGTGTTCGGGCTGTGTGAATTTTCTGATCAGTTTCTGGGAAGCTGCGAGCAAATCCACTGCGGTGTTTAGTATCAACGACAAATATTTCCGTTATTGATACAGAAGGGTTGTGACCGCAAGTCTGTGACGGATGGCGGTAGGTAGAAATGATGCTTACGAATCTTCATGTGTATTTTCTTTCGTCACAGGTGTTCAAGTACTACTTCGACGAGCTGGAAGAGGAGTCCCTAAGAGACAACTTCGTCATTGTGGTACGTGTTGTTGCTTGAAAGTGTTTCCATCACAGCAAGCCAACTGAGTCTCTGCCTATTGTGGTTCCCCCCTCTTCCACGTTCTCCCTGCCGCTCTTCTTTAAGCGTCCTCATGTCCCGATCCCTTCTTCTTGCTGGTCTTCACTCCCATTGCCTTGACATCCCCCTTCCCGACCCCATTCCTCCCCGTCTCCCACCCCAACTCTCCCATGCTCTCCACCCCTCCCCTCCTCATCTCCCCATTCTTCCGCTCTCAATTTTCCCACCCCTCCCCTCCCCCGCTCCTCAGCTTACCCCTTTTTACCACCTAACTCCTTTGGCTAACCTGTGCCACCACCGTGCAGTACCAGCTACTGGGCGAAATAATGGATTATGGTACCCGCAAGTCACTCCCCCCGTCCCTCTCCGGAACCCACCCGTCCCCCTCTCCTCGTCCCTCCCCTTCTCCCCATTCCCCCGTTCTTCCTTTAACCTTCCCTGTGCCACCATCGCGCAGTACGAGCTACTGGACGAGATAATAGATTTCGGATACCCGCAATTCACGCCCCCTCCCTCCCCTCTCCCACCCCACCCTTCCCCTCCTCCCCACCCCTCCCGTCCTCCCCTTCCCCCCGTTCCCCCTTTCGCCTTCCCTGTGCCACCCGCGTAGTACGAGCTACTGGACGAGATAATGGATTTCGGATACCCGCAATTCACGGAGGCGAAGATTCTGAGCGAGTTCATCAAGACGGACTCGTACCGCCTGGAGCTGTCCACGCCCAAGCCCAACATCGCTGCCGTCACCAACGCCGTCTCCTGGCGTAGCGAGGGCATCCGGTACAAGAAGAACGAGGTGAGCGCGTGCATGAGTTTTTGGTGCATATGGTGCCAGAGAGAGCCCCCCACACACTTCCAGGTGTCACGAACGCTGTCTCATGGCGTTCCTCTTTTGTTTTGCTTTTTCCCCACACTGTTTAATTGTTTTCTTATGTGCATGTGTTCCTGGATGTGTGTTGAGAGTGTGGACATCCTAAACATTTGCAGACTGTTGAACGTGCCAATCATTTGCTTTCTGTGTCTTATTGAATGTCTCTATCTTTATTCACAGGTGTTCCTGGATGTGGTTGAGAGTGTGAACATCCTGGTGAACAGCAACGGTCAAGTGGTGCGGTCTGAAGTCGTGGGCGCCCTCAAGATGCGAACGTACCTCAGGTGAAGACACGAGG